CCTCCTCCTCCTCCCTCCCTCCCTCCCTCCCTCCTCCCTCCCTCCCTCCCTCCCTCCCTCCTCCTCCTCCTCCTCCTCCTCCTCCTCCTCCTCCTCCTCCTCCTCCTCCTCCTCCTCCTCCTCCTCCTCACTCCTACATCCACCGTCCTGCGCCGCACCTGCGCGCTCTCCGTCTTCAGCTCCGTCGCGCAGTCGCTCCCGCCGGCGGGCTGGGCTGGTTCCTCCGCGCCGCAGAGCACTGCTCCAGGGTGTGAATACGCTTGTCGCTTGGAGTGACTTGACGGAGAAGCTCTGCAACTATTCCGCCCTTGTCTAGAGTGCCGTCATTAAGACGAACCTGGCTTCCAGTGGAGCGTGCATAGGCCCTGCATTTCCGGCTGCCCCGAGCAAATCGTCTTCCAGGCGCATTGTGTCCACTGTGCCCCCCTGGTTTTGCTGTTCCGCGCTTATAACTATCGCTGTGACTTGTTCGCCCCAGGCTGTGCCAGAGGTGAGTCAAGAACAGGCCACACAGCTATGCGTTCAGATCGAGTCCAACCCGAGCTAGCGACACCTCGGGTCCGTTTTCGTTCATTTTCGCCGCCGTGCCCTTGTGCAGCTCATCATCTCGCTCTGTGGACGGGCCCTCTGAGCCACGAGGCCTCCTCCTCCTCCTCCTCCTCCTCCTCCTCCTCCTCTTCCTCCTCCTTTCGCTTCGCAGTGCGCTGAGGATTCCGGGATCGACGCCCTCCTGAACTTGCACGCGCCGGCGGCGCCATCGGCGGACTTCCAGATGCCGAGCGTAGAGGCGCTTGACAGGGCGGCGGCACGGGCTGCCCACAGCGCGCCTGGACCTGACAGGATCCCGTACGCGGCATGGAGGCGCAGTCGCGGTGCCACCGGCATATTGTTCAATCTGATGGCCCACATGTTCATGACGGGAGTGGCCCCGCACGATTTCAATTACAGCATCTTCGCGACTGTTCCGAAGGGCTCGGAGCCTGAAGACCAGATCGACTCCTGCGTGCGGGAGGCGGGCAATTTGCGGCCCCTCTCCTTGAAGAGCACTGACGCTAAGCTGATCGCCAGCTGCTCGGGCAGGACACTGCAGCGGCACGTGGAGACCCGGACCCACGAGGTCCAGAAGGGATTCGCGCCTGGCCGTGACTTCGTGGACCACGTCCCCGCCATGGACGCTGAATGCCGACGCGCGGGCCTGGCCCCTGCGGCGCTCGCGCAGTGGCCCACCTATGCCCACCTTCACTTCCTTCGACTTCAAGGCGGCGTTTCCATCGCTATTCAGGCGATGGATGGACCGCTGCCTGCCGCGCTGTGGCATCCCGCGCGGATGCAGCAACGTGATCGGCGCGCTGTAATTACATGAACTGCGTGGCGCTGGCCGCGTGCTGTGGGCCCGCGATGTGCCTGTTCGCGATGCTCGGTGGCGTGGTGCAGGGGTGCCCCCTCAGCGGCACGCCCTGGTGCATCTCCATGGGCCCGGTGGTCAGGGCCCTGATTGTCGTGGTCGGCGACGATCAGGAGGGAAAGAAACACACAGACACAATTAATCGTCGACTCCCAGGAAAATATGCAAACATATGGGAAGTGGGGGGATGACAAAAACCAACAAATATGGGAAAATATGGGGAGTATTTTTATCTGTGTGTATTTATTTGTGTGTCCTGGGGCCCCTTCAGATGAGGGGCTGCTGTCCGCCTGCGCGGATGACTTGTGCCTGCTGCTGCTGCTGCGGCTGGCGAGGATGACCCGGGTGGCGGAGGTGGTCGCCCAGGTCCAGATCCTGGCGAACCTCACCCTGGCGGCCAAGAAGTGCGTCATGGTCCCCCATCTGGGCAGCTTGCGACGCGGCCCTGGCGCAGGCGCTGCACTCGAAGCTGGTCGAGATGCAGTGCGGTTGGGCGCATTTCTGGATCAACGGCAAGGCTAAGTTCCTCGGGGTCTTCATCGGGCCTGCGGTGGACCTCGACTGAGCCATGTCATTGCCGCCTCGGGCTCGCAGGTGAGCTTCGCAGTGCAGGCCTACAACACAGCCAGCGCCAGCTGCTTGTCGTACGTGGCACAGTTCTTCCCCTTGCTCCCTGCGGCCTGCCGGCGCGAGCATCTGCTGCTCCACAATGTCTAGCGCCTCCCTCCCCCGACCTTCCGCAAAACGGACCTGCTGGCCCTGGCGAACTGGCTGAAGTCCCCTGCGCCGGTGGCTGGCCATCCGATGGCGCGCGGCAACGACGACGGTCTCTGGCTGGCAGGCGGCCTTGCAGCGGCTCGCCGCGGAGGCCGAGGATCACCTGCCGTGGGTGCGGGTGAGGGTAGGCGACTTCTCCCCATCCTTCTGGGTTCTCCGCAGAGCCATCGTCCAGGAATACGCGAGCGTGGTGGCCGGGCAGGCCCAACCGCTCATTCCGGAGCGGCGGATCCAAGCAGCCATCGCCGCGGCAGAGGCAGAGCAGAGGTCGGCAGCGCTGCTGATGAGGAAGCCCAAGCTTCAGACTGTCTTCATCCGCTCCCTTTCAGCTTCGCTTCACCCCGAGGCCATGGTGATCACGCTGCGGAAGCGGCTCCGCGCCTGGGGCCTCGGCGTGCCGATCGCCCTGGAAGCTCGCTGGGATGCGCTTCGCGGGCTGCTGGTGCAGGTGCCGCCATCGTGGCAGTGGGCAGCCCTCAAGGCATTGGGAGGGGGGTGGACGACGGCTGGCCGCATGCTCATCATGCAGCCGCGACCCTGCTTTTTCGGCTGCGAGCGCGAGGCGGACGACATCCGGCACTATCTCTCGTGCCGGCTGCTCTGGCACTGGGTCGCTCTGCCGCGCTCTTTCCTGCCGGGCCCTCTCGGCCGTCTTGGGCTTGGCAGTGCGGCCGGGCACGCTGGCGAGTGGTCCCGCGGGGCGGCTCTTCGCGGGATCGTGCTCGCGTTCCACATTTACCACCTCCACAAGAAGTTCTTTGACAAGCACGGCCGCGTCGTCCCCTACGAGGCGGCCTCGGGGATCCGGCTCGCAGCCGCACGTCGCCGTCGCGACGGCCGAGTGCCCACTGCTGCGCAGGCCGCGCCGGCAGCTCCCGGCGCGAGCCGCCCGTCACGCCCGCCTGGTGGCGGCGGCCCTACGTCGGCCCGCGACGGCCGCCCGGACGGCCTGGCAGCCCCCCCGGTGGCAGCCCACTCGGCGTCCGCGCCTGGCCGAGTGCCCGCTGCTGAGCAGGCCGCGCCGGCAGCTCCCAGCGCGCGCCGCCCGTCACACCTGGCGGCCTCCTCGGCGTCCGCGCCCTCATCGACTTTGTCTCTGGCGGCCGTGAGCGGCCTGCCTGCGGCGCGCCCCGCCTCGCCCGCCGCGTAGGCCGAACACGCGCCCCCCTCGGCTGCGTGCACTCCTCCTCCTCCTCCTTCTCCTCCTCCTCCTCCTCCTCCTCCTCTTCCTCCTCCTCCTCCTCCTCCTCCTCCTCCTCCTCCTCCTCCTCCTCCTGCTCCTCCTTACTCCTCCTCCTGCCTCCTCCTCCTGCTCCTCCTCCTCCTCCTCCTCCTCCTCCTCCTCCTCCTCCTCCTCCTCCTCCCCCTCCTCCTCCTCCTACGTCGCCCCGTGGGCTCAAGGCAGCGGGCCCAAGACGCCCATGCTCGCTGCCCCCCCCCCGGCCCGCCCCGTGCAATGGCGGCGTTTCCGGCAGCCCGGCGGCAGCTGGCGTCGCTGCTGTGGTCAACAGAGCCGCCTGCGGCGACCTCCGGTGCCTTGGGGCACGCAGGCTGCCGCCGGCTGCCCCCTCCTCGCCCTCCCTCCTCCCGCCGGCCGTGCAGCGGGCTGGGGGCAGCCAAGGCTGCGGGGGCCACGGATCGTGGGCTGGCGGCAGCGCGAGTTGCGGGGGCCTGCCGGGTCGTGGACATGAGGTCGGACACCGTGACGCACCCGACACCCGAGATGAGGGCGGCCATGGCCGCGGCCGAGCTGGGCGACGACGTCTTCGGCGAGGACCCCACGGTGAGGAGGCTGGAGGCTCTGGGCGCGTCGATGTTCGGCAAGGAGGCCGCCCTGTACGTCCCGACAGGGACCAGTCGAAGAAGGAAATGGCACAAACATAAACTCTGGAAGTTCCGCGCGGAGCTCTTGGATCGGCGCTGGACCCCTGGAGCGCGGCAGGCACGGCCCCAGAGGCGCCGCCAGGGGGGGCCCAGCGCCGAGCTGAGAAAGCCGCGCGGGCCTCCGGCAGTTTCTGCTTCGTGTCGCTTTCGCTCTTCGGGCCATGGCGAACCTGTGCTGCCTCCTCGTGCACTGCGACTCCAGGATGTCGGAGGTGATCGTGGGCAGCCAGAGCCACATCTACCTCTGGGAGGTGGGCGGCTCGGCCGCGCTCGGCGGCATCCACCCCCGGGTCGTTCCGACGCTGCCGGACGGGACCATGCCCCTCGACGAGATCGAGGGGTCCATTCGAGGGAAGAAGCACGGTGACCATGACAGAGAAGATGTCGCGGGGTCTTGTCGACACTGGTCGTCATGGCCGTGGTCCTTGCCGGCCGTCGTCGACTCGCGAGGACGACCCACGATCCGATGGCCAGTGAGCAGGGTCGACACCGACGCTTCCGCGTTCCGTCTTGGTCATGGCCTCCAGGCTTCCGCTCCCTCCACCCGTCCAGAGGGCGAGGGACCACTGCCCCACGACGCGGCTCCCAGACCCCCGACGTCATGATTTTTTCATGACGCGACCCCCAGAGGTCCAGACCCATTCCCCGGGCCCGGCTTTTCATCCCGAGTCGTTTTTTGACGGTCCCGAGGCCCGGTAAGGGCCCCCGGAGGCCGAAAATAGGGAAAAACCTCCCGTCGTGATTTTTTCATGACTCGAGGAGGTCTGGGCTGGTCGTGCTGGAGCAGACGCAGAGCCAGTGCGGGGGCCGGGTCCTGCCCCTCGCCCACGTGGACGCGGCGGCCGCGCTCTGCAGGAGGCGCGGCCTCGCGCTGCACGTGGACGGCGCACGGGTCTTCAGCGCCTGCGCCGCGCTCGGCGTGGACCCGGCGCGGATGGCGCGCGGCGCGTGCCTCTCCAAGGTCCCAGAGGTCCAACGTATTGAAAAAATCAGGACGGAGTTTTTTTTTTTTTTTTTTTTTTTTGAATTTTCGGCCTCTAGCGGCCCTCGCCGGGCCCTGGGACTGTCAGAAAACGACTCAGGATGAAAGACCGGTCCTGGGGAATGGGTCGAGACTTCCGGGGACCCCGTCCTGAAAAAATCACGACATCGGATCTCTGGGGTCGATGGTCCTCGGGAAGCGTGTCAGCCCAGCGCGTGCTCACGCCGCTCGCCCGCGCGCAGGCTGCGTCGGCCTCCGCTGCGCTGCTCGCGTCGCACTGGGGGGGCTCCAGTGCACAGGCACGCGCTGGCGCTAACGCGCGCTGTGGGACCATCGAAAAGGGCCTGGCCTCGCCGGCAGGGTCGCTGGTCCTCGGCGGCGCGGAGCTCGTCGCGAGGGCGCGCCGGGTGCGGAAGGCGCTCGGGGGCGGCATGCGCCAGGCCGGCGTGCTCGCGGCCTGCGGCCTGGTGTCCCTGGAGAGGATGGCGCGGCCGTCGCGGCTGCGGGAGGACCACAGGACGTGCCTCCCCAGACCTCCTCGAGTCATGAAAAAATCACGACGGGAGGTTCTTCGCTATCTTCGGCCTCTGAGGGCCCTCACCGGGCCTCGGGACCGTCAAACAACGACTCGGGATGAAAAACCGGTCCCGGGGAATGGGTCTGGACCTCTGGGGGTCGCGTCATGAAAAAGTCATGACGTCGGGGGTCTGGGCCGCGTGCACATCGCCATGGAGGGATGGGGATCCCGAGGGCAGCGGCCCCCGAGCTCTTTTCGCTCGCCGTTGCTGGCCTCCAAGGAGTCTCCCTCGCGCGCCCCGGGGCCGTCCGAAAGCGAGTGGGGACGGAAAGGTGGTGTTGGGGGCGGGCCCGGGTGGTCCAGGACCGTGTCCTTCAGGACCCCTCATCCCCAGACTCCGGATCCGCCCTATACTTTGGGGAAATTCGTAAGCAGGGCCTGGAATTGCCGCCTTGCTTTTCAAGCCCCGCTGATGCCACTTTCCGCCCTACTTTTCTGCTGCTGTTTCCGCCCTACTGCTGTGGATTTCCGCCCTATTTTGTGTTGGGTGCAGAAATTTCCGCCCTACTTGTTCGGCTTCTTATAGGTGGATTTCCGACGCAATTTTACGTTGGAAAAAAAAGTAGGGCGGATCTGGAGTCAGGCTTACCTTCACGCCAGGTAAAGTGACCCTTCGCCGGAACGACCCTTCCTGGTGCGGGCTCACTGGAGCCCCCCGATCCTCTGTTTGCGGCGCGGCGGCAGCGGCCTGTGCGCCCAGGCTCGGCCCCCGCGCACCCCCAGAAGCCGTGCTCTCGGGGGGAGGGAGGGAGGGAGGAGGGCGGAGGAGGAGGGCGGAGGAGGAGGGCGGTGGAGGAGGAGGAGGAGGGCGGAGGAGGAGGGCGGAGGAGGAGGGCGGTAGGAGGAGGAGGAGGAGGAGGAGGAAGAGGAGGAGGAGGAGGAGGAAGAGCAGGCGGAGGAGAGGGGCGGAGGAGAGGGAGAAGAGCAGGAGCAGGAGGAGGAGGAGCAGGAGGAGGAGGGGGAGGAGGAGGAGAGGAGGGGGAGGAGGAGGGAGGAGGAGGGGAGGAGGAGGAGGAGGAGAGGAGAGGAGGAAGAGAAGAGGAGGAGGAGGAGGAGGGAGGAGGAGGAGGAGGAGGAGGAAGAGCAGGAGGAGGAGGAGAAGGGCGGAGGAGGAGGAAGAGCAGGAGCAGGAGGAGGAGCGGAGGAGGAGGGGGGGGAGGAGGAGGAGGAGAGGGGAGGAGGGAGAGGAGGAGAGGAGGAGGAGGAGGAGGAGGAGGAGGAGGAGGAGGAAGAAGGGAGGAGGAGGAGGAGGAGGAGGAGGAGGAGGGAGGTGGAGGAGGAGGGTGGAGGAGGAGGAGGGAGGAGGAGAAGGAGGAGGAGAGGAGGAGGAGGAGGAACAGCAGGAGGAGCAGGGAGCAGGAGGAGGAGGAGGAGTAGGAGGAGGAGGAGGGTTGATGAGGAGGAGGAGGAGGAGGAGGAGGAGGAGGAGGAGGAGGAGGAGGAGGAGGAGGAGGTCGCTCTGGCGCGCAGCCTGTGCCAGGAGGGCCAGGGAGCTGGCGCGCGGCCTGGCGTCCATCGACGGCCTCGAGGTCCCCAGGCCCGACTCCAACATGGTCCTCGCCACGGTGGTGGCCGAGGGCGTCGCCTCCGCCGACTTGGTCGCGGCCCTGGGGGCGAGGGGCACCCGCGTGGCCTCTCCCAGAGGAGCAAAACATGCATGAGCATTCAACCTACTGTTAAGTCGGGCCTGTCCCCCTACAGGGGGATTTTCGACGACAAATAACAAATACCCAACAAATGTTTCAAAAAATAGTCCCCAGACTGTGTTTTGATCATTTTTTGATTTTTTGGGGGTATTTTTTAAACATTTTTCGTCGAAAATCCCCCTGTAGGGGGACAGGTCCGACTTAAACCTACTGTAGCCACGACCACCAGAAAGAATTTCGAGCAACAGGAAAGTGCCGAAACTTGAGGGTTCTCAAGTGCCGCGCCCTGGGGGGCGGTACTCGTTCGACACTGTTTCGATAATGGAGGGTGACGATTAATGAATGACCGGGGGTCGTGTTCACGCGGCGGCGCCCGGGATGACGATTAAAAAAAACCGGCCGCGGGCTGGAAAACTATTCTCTTCATCGTTCTCCTCCAGAAACTTGTGCAGAAATAGCAGGCTATTATTGTAATCGTTCTCTCCCATCTTTTATTAATCGTCATCCCGCAGTACGATGGGGGCAACACAGCATGAGCACACGCTCGCGGAGCTCCGCGCGGACTCCACGGATCTGCGCGGCGGCCCCCCGACGGTGCCTCCGGCGCCGACCCTGGCGCGCTCCGCGCGCCAGGGAGGGGGGGGCCCAGCGCCTATCCTTCAGTCGGGAACGTCCCTCCACAGGAGGAGTCTTCCAAAAGAGTCCAAACATAGTCCGGGGGCGATTTTGTTGAGCACATTTGTTTTTTTTATTTTTATTATTTTGGGGTATGTTTTGAACATTGCTCATTCTTGGCCCAAGATCCGCCTGTAGGGGGGCAGGCCCGACCTCAGCCTATACCCAGGAGGTCCGAGCGGACCTCCGAGAGCGCACGCCTGTGCAGGTTTTTTTGCCTCCTCTGCGTTCCCGCGCCGGGGAAGATCCGCGCCGCCCTGCACTACCAGGTTCGGCTAGACGTAAGAGTGACCTTTCGCCCCAGACCTCCTCGAGTCATGAAAAAATCACGACGGGAGGTTTTTCGCTATTTTCGGCCTCTGAGGGCCCTCACCGGGCCTCGGGACCGTCAAACAACGACTCGGGATGAGAAACCGGTCCCGGGGAATGGGTCTGGACCTCTGCAGGGTCGCGTCATGAAAAAATCATGACGTCGGGGGTCTGGGGCAGGAGTGACCTTTGGCGCGGGCGCAATGGGGCCCCCGATCGCTGAGCGCGAAGCGTTAGCAGCGGCTTGCGCGTTGAGGTTTGGCCACCCCGCGTCCCCCGCCACAGAGGTCACTCTTGCCCAGGGTCACTCTTGCGTGTAGCCGACAGGTCGACGACGGCGACGTCCTGAAGGCGGTGGCCGACTTCGGGGCCGCGATGCGGAGCCTCCGGGCCGGCAGCGAGCAGGGGGCGTCCGGGCGCCAGAAGGTGCAGTAAGCACCCGCTGGCCCGCCGCCTGCAGCGCAAAAAACAAGGGAAACAAGAACGAACAAACAAACAAACAAACAAACAAACATAAAGACGAGAGAGACAGCAAAAAGATAGTTCCCTGCTCCTCCTGTTTGTGGTTGAAAGAGAGCTCCCTGTGTTGACCTCCCCTCCTTCTCTCTCCTTCTCCCCCCCCCCTTAGGAGCGCTCCTAACTCCTCCTCCTCATCCCCCAATGTGCTTCTCTTACGGTCAAAAACCTAATAAGGATGCGCGACTTTGCTCAGGGTACCCTTGCGTCCTTGCTCTTCTTGCTCCTGCGTCCTTGAGGTTTTCGTCGTCCGCCGCCCCACCAATCCCAACTTCGGCTTCCAAGGGTCTTGCGTCCTTACCGCGCGTCCTTATTAGGGTTTTTGACTGTACCCTATCCTGCTTTTTCATCCCTCCCCGTCCACCTCGTCTCTCCTCCGTCCTCCCTGCTGCCAAGCCAGGCCCGAGGCGTCAGGGGAGCGGGCGTTCCCGCACCAGGCGTGAACGCCACCAGCACCTCGGACCGCCCCCGGGTGTCCGACTCGCCGAGGCCCCGAGCGAGTGCGGCGCCTCCCGACGGCACTGACTCCGCAGAGCTGCGCGCCCCACGAGCTCCTCGACGGTGCCTCCCCTCGTGGTGGCAGCGCTCGCTGAGCGCCCCCTCCCTGCTGGCTGCGGGCCTCGCCTCTGGAGGCGCCGACGGAGGGCGGGCCGTCTTCTCCTCCTCCTCCTCCTCCTCCTCCTCCTCCTCCTCCTCCTCCTCCTGGCCTCTGGGCGGCGGTCTTCAAGACGCGGCTCTCCCGTGCTCGCGCCGCGCGCCCTCGTCTGGAGCGTCCGCAGCGGCTGGGGCGCAGGGCCTGCGCGGGGGTTCGTCTCCATTGTGCGTGGCTCTCCGGCCGTCGCGCCCGCCGCGCGCTCGTCTCGTGAGGTCCCAGCGGCGGCAGGGCCGGAGGGCGGCTCGTGGACAGGATGAGGCTCTTCCGCTGCTGCACCTCTTTCATTTTGATGGCCAAGTCAGAACGTGATGCAACACCTGGACGGGTCGAGGCGGCTGCATTCCAAAAGGAGGATCTCCGCGTGAGACGTCCTCGAGCGTGACGGTGACGAGGTGACAATGGTGCAGGAGCTACGCGGATGCAGGGCGGCGCCTTGCCAACACCGGGTTCGTAGGATATTTCCTTAACTCTCACGATGGTGCTTCTTCGCATGTTTTTGTAACTAAAGGACGGAAGGCGGGTCCTTGTCAAAACGGGGGTCTCGCCTCAATGGGAGGCCCATGCGACTCTCGTCTTTCCAGGGGGGAGGCTCCCGCAGTGAAGCGGAATGTTTGTAGGTGCGTATAAGCAGAGGGCTTGGGATGGGACGATGTATTGCAGCATCGTCAACGCGTCCTGGGTTTCTCCGGTCCCCCTCGTCCTCATCCTCTTCGCCCTCCTCCTGCTCCCCTCTCCCCCGCCCTCGACAGCCTCTTCGAGGCCACCAAGGAGGCACCCCCTCCCGCCGACGAGTTGGACACTGTCGACGGGCACCTTCACCAGCCCATGGACGTCATTGACGCCAAGGCCAAGCACTGGCATCGGCTATGGCAGTCAGCTCACGCTGTGGACTTAGACCAGATTCAGGCTACTTTTTTCGAGATCAAAGAGCAAGCAGCTCAAGACGACCTCCCACCCATCACGTCCGACGAGGTACGACGAGCCATCAAGGCCACGAAGCCTCGCGCATGCCAAGGGCTGGACAGGCTCTCGCCCCTCGACCTGGACCGACTACCAGACGAGGCGATCGACCAGCTAGCCAGCCTCTTCACGCTCTGCGAAGAGGAACACGATGGCCCAAAGACGCCTCCAAGACGGCCCAAGATGTAGCCAAGATGGCGTAAGATAGCCTCAAGATGGCCCAAGACGGCCCAAGAGGCCTCAATACGGCCCAAGAGGCCTCCAAGAGGTTCTCCAGGAGGGCCCGAAGAGGCCAAAATCATTTTCCCTAGGGCTTTGAAGGATTTTGATATTTGCTTCTTTTCGGCGACGGCTCAAGACGGCCCAAGAGGCCCCCAAGATCGCCCCAAGATCAACCACGAGGCCTCCAAGATGGCCCCAAGCCGGCCCAAGAGGCCCCCAAGACGGCCCCAAGAGGGCCCCAAGACGGACCAAGAGGCCTCCAAGACGCCCAAGATGGCATCCAAGACTACCCCGAAGCGCCCCAAGAGGGCCCCAACCTGGTTCAGAGAGGCCCCCAAGACGGCTCCCGACGGCGTCAGACGGGCCAGGAACGCCCTAAGACGGCCAAAGAGGCCCCCGAGAAGTCCCAAGAAGGCCCCAAGAGGCCTTCAAGAGGCTCCAAGAGAGCCCAAGATAGCACCAACATGGCCTCCAACACGGTCCCAAGATGACCCAATTGAGCCCAAGAGTACCTCAAGAGGCTCCAGAGAGGCATCCTCCCCTTTCTCCTTTTTCCTCCTTCTCCCCCTCTTCCTCTTCCTCCCCCACGTGTTCCCCGAAGGCTTTCCAAACCGACTCGGGGAACACATGGTCCGATAGTTTCGCCCCCCAAGATGCCTCCAAGACGGCTCAAGATGCCTCCAAGACGGCCTAATATGGCGTCAATATTGCCCAAGACGGCCCAACAGGCCCCCAAGAGGCCCCCAAGACGGCCAAGAGGCCTCCAAGAGGTCCTCCAGTAGGGCCCGAAGAGACCAAAATTATCAATTGTCCTTCAGTGTTTCAAGGATGTTAGCATATGTTTCTTCTCGCCATTCCGACGGCTCAAGATGGCCCAAGAGGCCTCTTCCTCTTCCTCATCATGTTCATTCTCCCCCACGTGTTCCCCGAAAGCTGTCCAAACCGATTCGGGGAACACATGGTCCGATAGCTTGGCAGGCCTCTGGCCACAACGTTCGGCCAGATAGGCGCTTCCGAAAGGGCAGGGGGCGGCGGTGATTCGCCGTAGGCGTCTTTGATTGTTTTAACCCAAACCAAAAACGATAGGATTCAGCACGCCAGGCACCCCTCTTACAAGCAACAGGGGGCGGCGGATCTAATGGTTTTCGGGGCATCCCGCCACCGTGGCTTGGGTTGTGGGTATGAAGCCCATCGGATCTTCGTTGGGATCGCGTGAGAGGCCTCTCAGGTGCCTGTTGGAGACAATTTCGAAGCCTCTTTGGGGCCGTGCTGGGGCCGTTTGGGGGCCCCCTTTCGAGGGTTTTGGGGGGCATCTTGGGGCCTTTGGGGGACCTGTTGGGGGCCGTTTGGTGCCGGCGGCTCTGTAGCCGCCGTCGCCGCCCTGTCGCAGCCTCGTCGCCGCCTCGTTGCGCGGGAAGCGCATGTTACACCACGTATATTTTCATCTTTAAGCAAAACATGTGAACGACCTCCCCCCCCCAGGTTTACCGGTAACCACGGGGACAGTGCAAGTTGTACAAGGAGTGCTGTTATCGACCCCCTGTCATCCCTGTCAAGGAATACCACGCGCGCGCAGTCGCTTATCACACATCATCAGTTTCCAACAATCCTTTGAACAAATTGGAGCAAGTCGACACGGGCACGTCGTCGCGCGCTAGGTTTCGTAAAATCAGCTGCATCAGCTCGGCGGCGCAATGGGAAGCACATGTTTCGCGCAGGTTCGCACAAAGAGGTTCACTGCGATGATTGGGTCATGTTGTCGTGTGGGTCGTTTCGGAGGATCGGGGGGAGCCCAGAGGCAAGGCGCGAGGAGAGGGGAATACCACTTGGACTGTCAAGGTAAGTTTGACTATCGGGGCAGCGCCGCGAGTGCCGCCACGGCCGAATCAGCTGGGGTCAGCGGGCCGGCGCTCTCCTCAAGAGGAGGTCGGAGGAAATCCCGAGGGGCGGGAGGGAGGAGCGGAGCGAGGAATCCAGAACCTCTTCCTCCTCCTCCTCCTCCTCCTCCTCCTCCTCCTCCTCCTCCTCCCCCTCCTCCTCCCCCTCCTCCTCCTCCTCCTCCTCCTCCTCCTCCTCCTCGGCTCGGCATGTCAAAGCTCACATGTCCCAGGAGCAGATCGATTGTCTGGAGGCCGAGGAGCGTCATTGGGCCGAAGCGAAGCGTTTCGCTGATCATCACGCCAAGCTTGCTGCAAGCTTGCATCCTGCGCCGTCGCCAGAGTTTTTGACCAAACTCGATCTTGCGAGCAGCCGAGCCGCCGATTTTGTCTCGCTAGCTGCAGCTGTCCTCCCTTGTTTCCTCGAGGACAGCCCGCAGCATTGGCGACGGCCAACAGCACTGCATCGGAAAAAGAGTAGTCGTGGGGAGGGGTGGCACTCTTGGGGCTTGGGTGAGCTGGGATGGCAGTGCGAGGTATGCTTCAAGGTTGCGCCGTCATGCCTCAACCTGCTTCTGAATGGATGTCTCGGTTCTGAAGCCGCTCACGGCTGACGCGTTGGGGCATCAGTTAGTCGCCTTTTGTGGCTCTCGTCTTGCTCCGCTGTGTCGGTTCCCTGCTATGTCTGAAGTGTGGAGGGTGGAGTCAGGAGAAGGCCATCAAGTTAGCCAGGCCTTGCGCCCCCTCAACCAGTAAAAAGGATTATGTCTCGATTTCGGAGAGGGCTGGCCCCGAATCCCCGAATTCGTGCGTTGATCGACCGCGCCATCCCTGCCCCTCGTGTTGGTCTCAGTGTTGCGAGTGCGCGGGATGTCCGCGCGTCGACGTCTGTCGTGCAGTATTCATCGGACAGCGTCGTCCCGTATGAAGCTCGAATGGCACGCCTCCTCGAGCGGGTTCGCGCTCGAGAGGAGGCTCACAGCAAGGTTTAAGTTTTGGAGCGGGTGCACCTGTCGCTGAGGGCGAGAGTGGCTTGTGGCCGCCACTCTCGTCCTCTCAAAATCTCCCCCTGATGGTGCACCCTGCCCCCAATGTTGTACTGGGCTGGCCCCTCCCTCCTTGGACTGGCTTCCTGGGACTCGTCTCATCTCATCTCCCCCTCCTCCTCCTCCTCCTCCTCCTCCTCCTCCTCCTCCTCCTCCTCCTCCTCCCCTCTCCTCCCCTCCTCCCCTTCTCTTCCTCCCACCTCCTCCCCTCCTCCTCCTCCTCCTCCTCCCTCCTCCTCCTCCTCCTCCTCCCTCCAGGGCTGGGCCCGACCAGCGCCGCGACTGGTGGCGCGCCGCGCCGGCCAGGACCAGCCGCGCCCCGCGGCGCCGCCCGCGGTGGAGGCGGCCGCGGCGGTCGTGCCGGAGGAGCTGCCGCAGCCCTTCGGAGGAGGAGGAGGAGGAGATGGAGGGAGGGAGGGGAGGGAGGGAGGGAGGGAGGGAGGGAGGGAGGGAGGAGGGAGGGGAGGGAGGGAGGAGGAGGAGGAGGAGGAGGAGGAGGAGGAGGAGGAGGATGAGGAGGAGGAGGAGAGGAGGAGGAGGAGGAGAGGAGGAGGAGATGGAGGGAGGGAGGAGGAGGAGGAGGAGGAGGAGGAGGAGGAGGAGGAGGAGGAGGAGGAGGAGGAAGCCCATTTGGCCTCTGGCGATCTGGGCCTGCGACCGATCGCTCGGTCAGGGTCGATCGGCGCCAGCCGCCCGATCGATCCCGCCTCGCAGGCCGATCGCGAGGCCGGGCTCCGCGCGCCGCGGATCGGCGCGCCTCGGCGCGCCCAGGAGAGGCCCGACGCCCGAGCCCGCCTGGCACAGGCGGCAGAGGGAGCGCCGGGCTTCGGCGCGGGCCCTCCTGCGCGTCTTGAGGGCCGCCGACACCCTGGCCAGCCACCACTCGGCGCAGAAGTACCAGAGCGACCAGCAGTACGAGCTGCAGGACTTCGAGACCAGCAAGATGGCGACCAATACGAAGTCTCACGGCCATCCAGTGGGGGCCAAGCCGTGGCCATGGAGGTCAAGTACACCAGCAGCTGGATCCTCGTACCGCCGACACCATGGAGGGAATGGACAGCAGCAGCCACGGCACCAGCACCAGCACAACCAGCACCACCACACCTCCCACCACGACGAGGATCGACAGCAGCACAACGACGCCCAGCATCAGCAGCAGTACAAGTACGACTACACGACACCGAGAACGAAGCGGGCCCACTCAAGAAGACGCCACCAGGCCCCCGAAGACTCCACCAACGACCACCGACAGTTACCAAAGCTGACGAAACGTCAGTCGGAGGTCACCGAAAAGGTAATGCCCGCCTTGCTCTCGGATGCCAAGGGACACGAAAGCTTTTCCCTTCCTCCCGACGACCCAGACATACGTCGGGTTTGGCACGCCACCAAGGTGGCGCGGATGGCACGTCTCGCCGACCAAGTCCACGGTGCATGGCAAGCCCAAGTCGACCCGACCCGCTTGATCGAGGAGCTAGCCATAGTCAAGACCATGATACACATGCTGGACACGCCGACGGCGCGCATTGCACAATACAGATCCCAAGTGGAGTCACGGATACAGAGACAGCAGACCGTCGAGAGCCAGCTCAAAGACCTCAATAAGGAACACGACGAAATCAAGGGCGAGATTGCATCCCTCAAGGCACTCATCTCCGAGGCCAAGCAGTATCGAGAACACGCCGAACTTTACGAAGACAGCTGTGATGGGGATGGTGAAGATGACGGGCGACAACGCATCAGGGGCAAGACACCACATCCAGAGAGAAGACAGCGAACGCCAGTCCGACAACCGGTATATGAGCCAGCGCATGCTTCGACCACCAACGACAACAGCGACCTGCGGAAACTCATTGACGTGCTGACGAGGAGAGTGGACGAGCAGCAGCGTAACCACGGAATACACCAACACCATCTGGCGTTTCTCCATCATGAACGTGCCGAATCCGATCAACAAGAAGCACAACGTCAACTGCAGACCGAGCAGATCCACGAGCTCTCGCAACATCTACAACAATGCCAGGAACAATTCCAGCAAGCACAACTCCAACAGAGACAGTCGTACTACGACGAGATCCAAGTCTTCCGACAGCGCGAAGAGCGGCTCCGACAAGAGGCTCGCGAATCCATCACGGAGAACGTCGCTCACTACCAGCAGAAGGAGGCCCACCTGCGCTACCAGCTCAAGGAGGAGGAGTCAGCGCACCTCGCCACCTTCATCAATCAGAGGAAGCAAGAGGAAGAGACCTTCAGACATCAGCTACACGAGAACGCCGAGATCATGGTCCAACAACATCAACAACGCTGCCACGAACAACAGCAACGTCTTCTCTCAGAGAAAGCTCAGGCACAGCAGGACATCAGCAACATCGCGAGGCTTGAACAGAACCAGCTTCAGGACGCTAAGGAACTACTCTTGGAGGAGTTCGGACAGATCCAGGCTCAGAAGTACCGCACCTTGACAGCCCAGAGCGAGTACAACAGCGAGATCGACAGGCTTCGAGGCACTTCCCGTGACATGCAGCGCTTCGAGAACGAACTCCAGGAGCAGCACCAACTCCAACTACAGGAGCATCTTCAGCAACACAGACAGGAACGAGAGCGACTGCACTGCGAACTACAGCAGGCCTACGAGTACGGTACCAGCATCGACGTGGACATCATCAGGGAGCTCGACACACAACTTCAAGAACGAGACGAGGAAGACGCACGACTGCAAGCCCAAGCAGATGCTGAACAAGCACAGATCGACAAACAGGTTCAAGCGGCACTCCACCTGCTGACCCCACCGTCTTCCTCTGATGACTCGGGCTATCAACTATACCTCAGAAACCGCGGCAGCAGCAGCGGAGGACAGCCCAGCAACAGCGGACAGCGCAGCAGCACACCACCACCACGTTGTGAAGGAATGCCCCGCCAGATTTCGATTCCCGCGCTTCCGCCTCGACCGACACCTGCGATGCCAACCGCCACTCCCACTGCGAGACGCCCATGCCACGACGCCGACGACGCCAGCGTGCACGCCCCAATCCCAGCCGACGACGACGACCTTTGCAGCCCAACCCCTGTTGCGAGTGACGCATATCCCTTCCCTGTCCCTACGCCTTTACCCACCCCCGCCTCGCTTACGCCGATCCCCACCGAGCAGCATACGCCCATCGGCTTCCACCCACCCGACCCGCAAAATGACCGACCCAGCTCGGCGCCACCACCACGCACCAGAAGGACAGACTCAACTCAGCACAACCACCCATCCACTACTCTTCTCATTGACATCACTTCCGATGACGACGCACCACCACCCTCCACCCCAGTGCGCATTCCACTGGCCGACATATCCCCTACCGCACCGATGCAGCCAATCCAACCACCACCCCGCTTCCACCTCGCCACGCCCGACCGCGCCTCCTCCGCCCCTCCGCCCCGCACCGCCCTCCGAAAAAACGGATCATCTAAACGAGCGACCATGCCCAAGAAAGTCCGTATCTGCGACATCGGAGACGGCTTCGCAGACCCAGGAGACCGAGTGCCAACCTTCCTCAACGACGAGGAAGTCCCTGCGGTCAACTCACCAAAAAACTAAAGAGGCCCTCACCCCCTGGGGGGCAACTGGCCCAGGGGGAGCGGCCCAGCATCACACCAGAAGACTACCAGCGCAACGACGGCACTTCCGACTCCTGCAGTGGTTACGCCGACGACGTCAAGCGCCGACTATTTGAGCCCCTGGTGAGCTACGATTCACCATACGACACTTCACAAGTTTCACCTACCCTCTCATCAGCCAATAGAGGCATGCGCGATGGGGAGAGCGCACCTCCAGACCTGTACGAGCACGGCGACATGTGGGAAATCCACACACCGCCCAACATACCACAGCCTAGTAGTGGACCGTGGACCATCCCCTCGGCCTCTACCTCTCGCTTGGGGAGCGCGAGAAGGCTGTCTCACACAGACCCCACACTAGAACCACATACGCTAGCGGAACGACCAACCACTGCCACCCAACCTCGACGGCAGCATGTCGACTCACATCCTCCACCAGCGGAAGCCCAGTCACGGTCGATCCCGACGATGACGACGCCACCGCCCACGCCTAGAGAGGATGCATCGCTTTGTGAGGACGACACAGGAGGGGGGCAAGAACGACCAGAAACACCAACAAGGCATCGACGCACTAGCCATTTTGGCCAAGATGGCGATCGAGACCGACAATTTTGTGACTCGCCGAGCCGGCCATGTACATCAATTCCCTGCCGGCAACAACCTCCCATTTTTGACTCCCTGGAAGTTGCCCAGATTCCACACGGACAGACCGACCTGCCGAACGCGGAGAGCCACGAGGCAGTACGGCATGTTCGATTCTCGCGCGAGGTCCATACCCGCGACCAGCAGACCGACAATATCCTCTACCACATCGACTTCGACGAGCAGGAGCCCTTACTCCAGCACCTTCGACGACTTCAGGCTCCCAGGCTGACCTTTAAATTTACCGACCGATGCCACAACGAGGTTTCAGACTACATGATGCGAACATTCCCATACCGACAGCTCCTACGAGATTCTCGCCTGCACTTATATACCGACGGCTCCAAACACCCACGCCAACATGGTCAAGACGGATGGTCAGTTGTACTCGTCGGTGAAGACGAAGAAGGCTTCTCTTTTCAAGGCGCAATAGTCGGCAAGCACCGCGACTCCACCCTCGGGGAGATCCAAAACCTCACGGACAACGAGACCACCTCGACATCCAGCGAGATCACAGCGCTCATCTGGGCGCTCGCCTACATCATCCACAAGGACATCAACCACAGGATATCGGTCCACTCCGACTCGCTGGGAGCGATCCAACTGGCCAGGATGGAGGCCTTTACCAACCGAGACGCCCACCTCGTGCAGCTACTGGTGATCATGTACTCGCACGTCAAGGAATATGTCGACCTGTGTCACGTCCACGCCCATGAGATGAACCCCTGGAACGAAGTTGCCGACGCCGCAGCCAACTACGCCCGCATCGAGGACTACCCGCACCCACAACCTGAATGGGCTAACATACTCAACGCGTCCCCTCAGCGCTGCTGGGAATTCTTACTCGACGCCGACAACCACACCAAGGACGCTTACCCATCCTTTTCACCTGGGATGCTCAAGGCCCAACGCATCGACACCACGGCAACGACAGCTCACCTCTCGACACCAACCAAGTCCACGAAGACCTCGACCGAGATAGATGTCAACATCGCCACCTACAACATCCAGTCAGGGCGCGAACCTGGCCACGGCGCTCGACGACGCAAAGAAAAGATACACAAGCTTAGAAAGACAATGCTCAATCTGTACATGGAGGACCTCCACCTGATCGGCATCCAGGA